GCTAAGCAGGGGATATGCCGGAACCAGAACACCATCCAGACCGGTTAATGGTCGAATTATCCAAACCAAGTAAGCAGATAAGCTAGCGGCACATGAAGAAGCACATGCTCTCAGATAAGTACGTACGTACGATGCAAGAAATCTAAAAACCACAATCTCTTTATAGAGACAAGATAAACAAATTATTTCCTAAGTTATTGGAATCAATAAAGTGTGTACATAAATACTTTATTGAAATCGATAATTTAAGAAACGCTTGATTTCAAATGTGCTACTTAATTATACGTTATATTAACTCTGGAGAGACAATCTGCTCCATGCACATTGAAATCAAATATTTCTTAAATTATCAACTTCCATAAAGTTGAAATTAAATATTTCTTAAATTATCGACTTCAATAAAGGTATGCACTTTATTGATGCTAACAATTTGGGAATTACTTGTTTATACGTACTTGTCTCTATCATGAGATTGTAGTTTTTAGATTTCTTGCACCGTACGTATTCAGCATGTTGACCAGTGATATTTACTATTATTACTTTATACTGTAAATAAGTAATCTTCCAATAATTCCAAATTGAGCAACTGATTGAATTATATGCACGATGCGAGAAGTTAAAACCTCAATCACCCTATATATAGAAATAATGCATAAACTAGTGACATATTGAGAAAATTTCATAAATTATCGATTTAAATATATTTGAGTGTATGAGAATGAAAACCTGGAAGTGAATTATTATGGCGAATTTGACCCCTGAGGACAATCAGTGTTCTAGTAGTTTCAGTAACACAATACGATAAGATATATCTCTCTACATCTAATGCTAACAGTTTTTGAGATTGTATTAGGTAGCTTAAATTATTTTATATTATTTTGTGTTCTTAATTCACATACAACTATATTAATTTGTTTTTTCTTTTTTTTATTTTGTTTTGTTGTGTCTCTTTTGCATGGGCTCTTTTCTGATTTCCAATCCTTTCAATTAAATCGTCACTTGGTTTTGAGCAAAATTTGTCATGGTAAACAATAGGACAATATAGGTGAATATTGTTCCAAAGGTCAACTTATTTTTCTTCTGAAAGACTTTTTGGCGCAAGCTCTTGAGGATTTAGACTTCTAGTATTGGCATTTAGTTTTAATAATTGAAATTTGTCTCATAGATCAGTAGGCTTAATCTTAGCTTTCATTATACCGAGAGTTTCACTGCTGAACTGAAAAAAATGGTACTTTTGAATTGCTGGAGGTTTATAGTACAATAAGCTAAGTGCTGAAGTTCAATCACAAAATAGTTCTATTTGATCCTCTAAGCTTACAGAAAAATTATTACTTGCACTCCTATTTATTACTTCAACTAACTGATCAATGCACCAAACTTCTGATCTGGCATACTCTTTTTTAGTATTACCAAATCCTCGGGCAACAGAATTTCGAGTATGCCTTTTGATCTGGAAGTGATATTCAATCTTTTGAAATATTTGGATATGACAGGCCTATAGGAAATACTATAGAAGATATGAGTTTTTATTTTGTCTACCGCAATTATCTGTTCATAATCTAATTTTATTTTATTTATTATATTTTATTTAAGTATAATTTATTTATAATTATTAAATATAAAAAATATCGATTAATATATACCTAATTTCATTTACTTTATCCACAACAGAAGTTAAAAATAGATGCACTATAGATGTAACTTCATTGGTCCTTTTCACTGCTTTTGCTTCTGTATAAAGAAAATGCTAATGACAGTTAATACCTTCTTCCACTAATCCAAATTGGTGCACTTTTAATAATGACGAATAATACCACCTTCCTGGTTGTTGAGAGTCATGAGGTAGCTCAACTTTTTAAGTAAAATCAAAAGACAAAACACGAAATGCAGATCAATCAAACTTTTTTGCTATTTGAATATCATTTTTATATGCTTCTCTTATAGCACGATAATCATATATATGCGTAGCAAATTGGTCATTAAGGTTTTCATTTACATTACTTCTTTCCTTTAATGCATGTTTAAATAAGGTATATTTGTCACATACATCTTTAGATGGTTTTTTAATAACAATCTTACTTAACTCTAGATCATCCTTTCATATTTTTCGAAAGCTCCAGCTACTTACAAGATTATTTGGATGTATTAGGTTATAAAAGACTAAAAGCTAATTATAGGAATAGTAAGATAGAAGAAGAACAAGATCATACTTTTCATATTATACTGTTATTTGTTCATTTGTTTTTTTTTGTGCATATTTTCGAACAGCTAATGCCTCACCATGTTGATTACCAATTAATCTAATAAATAACTTTATTTTATTAACTTTTCAACTTGTAATTTAATAACAGGTGAATGATCAGTATTTTCATAAAATGAGGGAAGCATAGATTGTTTTTCTTGAACCCATCTACGAAAACGATAAAAAGCATCTTTACTATATAACCAAAATGTTTGAAAGAAAAGACTACAAACTTCACCAAAGTATAGTAGCTGGTATTTGATATTGAAGATCTTTTGTATGGCTCTTTATCAGATGAAGACATAAGTATTGTCATTGAATAACATCATTGCTCTTTGCTCATCTTAATACTTTCTAATGCTAAAGATTGTAACAGATCTAATGAAATTTTATTACTACATTTCTTTTTACACAAACAACATGATTTAAGCTTATTAACCAAGTTATCACGATGTCTTTCAAAAACTTTTTTAGGTTCTTCTTCTACAGTTTCTTCACTATTCGAACCCAATTTTGATACAAATTGAACATCTTCTGGTATTTCCTCATTATCATATCTTATTTCATCATCATCATCATCATCATTATATTCTGTTTTCTCTTTATCATGCTCTATTTCATGAGGGATCAGAGTAAGAGCAGTAGAAGTTTCAAAAAAATGCTCCAAATCTTCTGGAATTTCTATTGATAATTAAGAAAAAGTTAAAAAAAATTAAATGATAATTATTTAACAATTTAGATGTGGAGGATTTTAGATGATTACAGTTGTGATATGAAAAGTTTTTATATAATTATATATTTTGAGATTCTTCTTTTGTATTTATATTTATATACAATTGCTACTACTTGCACAGTTATTCTTAAAATTCTATTTAATTAAAAGGCATTCTCAAGTATCTCTATCAATGAACTATATAAAGAGTCTTATTCAGGTAGGCTAATCAGATTCTTTATTATGTTCATTGAAGTAGTTTTAGCATTTTTCTGGATATAATGCTACGTATTTATATTTGCACAACACAGATTTATACATTTTTGCTTAGAAACATTTAACTAATTGGATGTTTCAAATCAATTTCTTAGTAACTAATTTATACAGTAATTCTTTTAGATATAACAGAATTATTCATTTATTTAGGTTGTTTGGAATAATATGAAGCCAGAGTTAACTGTAAAAAACACAATATAGTATGAGTAATTCGAAAAATATTATATAATAGTAGATAAGTATTTATGTTCTTGATTTGCAAATTAGGTTTGTTGATTTTAATTTAAATAATTAATAGAAGATTTTATTTCTAAAGATATTATGCAATGATAGATAAGTATTTAGGCTCTTAATTTGTAAACCAATTTTGCTGATTTTAATTCTAACAATCAATAAAAGGTCTTTCGTTCAGAGCTGATTAGAATAATTACCATAATTCAAAGGGATTTTATCACAAAATCCTGATATCCAAAATCTCGAAAACTTCAATATGACAATTAATATTTAATAATTAATAATCACATTAACAATCATTGTCAGACTTTAAATTTTTAATTGCTACATCACATGATATCAGTATTATAGCCTGTCAAGATTTTGGATATTAGGATTTTGTGGTAGAACTAATTATAGAATAGTAAATAGGCATTTATGTTCTTGATTTGTGAACAAATTTTGCTGATTTTAATTCTAACGATTATTAAAAGGTCTTTATGTTTATTAACTAAATAGAATAATTAATGTAGACAAAATTTTTCATATAAGTGCATGAGAGTGAAAACCTAAAAACTGATCATAATAAATTATTAAATCAGTTTCCAGGTTTTCATACTCACGTACTCATATAATGTTATAGTAGATAAGTATTTATGTTCTTGATTGTAAACTAGTTTTACTAATTTGATTTTATTTTCATAAGCTGAATGAAATAATCTAAAGAGTATTATGGGATGGTAAATAAGTATTATGTTTTGATTTGTGAATCATACTTTATATTTAATTGTATAAGAAAACAATTTTAATGTAATTATTTTGGAGACAGTTTACAAAATACAAAAGATATATTAAAAAAAAAATTGTTAATTAATATTAAAATTTGGTTAATGTTTTCTAATTAATTTTATATAAAAGATTAATATTACAAGCCCAAAATTGAGCTATTCTTGTGAAAAGCTTCAATACTATTGTATTTGTTATAATTGCAAAAACTTTTGGTACCGTATTTTGCCCTCTTTATTATATTGAGTATGCTATCAGATCTATTAGGACAGTGTCATTTATCACCTGATTTTTTTTTATCAGAAGCTTACCCCCCTCCCCCCCCTTAATATATATTTTGATCAGGTCTTTAGATATAATTTTAAATTTTTTACCACCTCTCCCCCCAAGGTATCACCTGCTGTTTGGCACGTCC